CTTTGAACCGTAATGTAGGCTTTTGGACAGGGTTAGAAAGAAAGGGTGGCATGAAGGCTCAAAATAATTTAAGATGAAAGGGTTCAAAATTACAACTTTTGGAATCAGATCTTTTGGCCAAACTAAAACTTCTGCCCCAGTTTCTTGGAGTCTGGGGAAAACCTTTTTTTCTTTTCTCTTTTTCTCTTTTTTTTTGGATTTTTGATTTGATGGGATTTCTAAGAAAAACTGCCCCACTCTTGACTTCGGGGATTATGAAATATTTTATTTGGTGCGACGGAACCGTAAGGCTGCCTACGTATCTTGAGCTGACAAGAATCAGGTCGAACATAGTTCAAACAAAATTTTTCTTTTCTTTTTCCTTCTTTTCTCTTTTTTTTCTTTTTCTCTTTTCCTTTTTTTTTTCTTTCCCCTTTTTTTTTCTCTTTTTCTCTTTTTTTTTCTCTTTTTCTCTTTTCCTTTTTTTTTTCTTATTTTCACTCATTCATCATCATTTTTCTTTTTTTTTATTCTCTACTTCTGCTACTGATTCCAAAAGAGGGGTATGAAAAAAAATAAACAAGGCTCAAAAGGGGTAGCGAAGGATGAAAGTGTTTGGGTAGAAGAATAAAATGCCTTCGTCATACCAAACTCAAAAATGCCAAGAACAAACATGCAATTGAAGATAAGCAAACAAATCATACATAGTATCTATTGATGGCATCAACACAAACAAAAGTGCCAATGAGCAATACCTTTGTCCCAATGAATGATCCTTGTCAGTTCGAAGTAGACTTGATTCAAACTTATCTTGATGTGGAAGAATGCATTTCAGCATTGATTGTTCTACCTCAAACTGCTTGAGAGACATCTCCTTGTTGTATGCTCTTATCAACCTCTTGATTTCCCAGACTTACTGCCTCAGTTTCACTCAATTCAAAGTTCAGGTCATCTCAAAATGCGTGAAACTTTAATTGTTTCCTCAGATGCCTCCTTTTATCATATTCAAAACCGTGTCATTGCTTCATGATTAGACTAACTTTCAAGACCATGCTGAGAATTATGCGTGCATGTCGTGCCACTAGAGTCAGCATGAAAAGAACTATAAAAGGAAAAGTGACCTAAACAAAACTGACTAAAACTAACAGAAAAACAGGAGATTGCATTAGACAGATGGTGAACAGGGTTTGAACAAAACAAGCAAAATAGACATGGGTTACAAACCCGGAACAATATCAGATAACACTAGACGAGTTACTACAATAAAACAAACTAGCAAAAAGAAGAAGAAGGGTTTGAGCCACAAGACAATATTCGGATTACAACCCTGAAATAACCTGGACAACAGAAATGACATCAAAATAAACCACCAAAACTCCTCCCTGGCTATCCAACAAAGGAGTGTCTTTCCAATTACCAGGCTCGACATCTTAGCCACTGGGTTGCACATCAGAATTACTAGGACATTCACCAATTTCTATATCATTAACTTCAGCTAGCAAGTTCCTAAGAGGATTCTCATATTCCCTGTCACCATGCATCTTTCCCACAAAGTGTGCTGACCCAGGTAAATTTGGCTTCCTAAACTTGAGCAGGGTATGAGGTTGTTTTGGTTGGTGGGGCATGAAAAATTTGGAACGAAGTTCCGGGGTAGGAGTTGTAAGGAGTGAAGTCCGGGGCATGTTGAAGGGAAAGATCAACGGTATTGCGCATCTGGGCTTGGGACAGCGGTGGAATGGAGGCATGGTTTTTTGTATAGTTGGTAGGAAATGAAGGTGGAGGATGTCCCTTAATCCAGGCCTGATACATTTCCGCCATCTGTTGTTTCAACCTTTGGACCTCCTCTTTCAATTCGGATTCAGAACCCACAATCTCCCTCGAGGGGTCGACAACTCCTGTATCCAAGTCTTTGCAGCTATGACTACCTTACTCTTTGACCTTGTGTTGTATGGATGAATTGCCAAAGTACCACAAACTAACCACCCTCTGTTATGATAAAAATAGAAGTAACAAAGAGGAGCAAAACAAATCCAACATGTTAGCGTTAGGGCATTTATCAGATAGAAATATCACATTGCGTGCAATATTCCTAGCAACAATTAACGGTTCTAGAATGGCTTCGAGGGTACGAAGGTCATATGGCATCATCCCAATTTCACTCTCCTTGCCTCATTTCCTTCTTCATTTTCCTTTCTAACACCGCTTGGTTTGCTTATTTTCCTTCCTCTCTTTTCTTTTAATTGTCACTCTTTTCTTTCCTCTCATTTCTCATGTCCTGCAATTTCATTCTCGCTTTTTTTCTTTTTGATTTTTTGAAAAAATAATTCAATCGAACCCTATGTAGGTTGCCTACGTATCATGTTCCACATGAATCAGATCAAGCGTAGTTCTGGAAAAGTAATGGACAAAATAAACTAAGAAACAAAAATCTTTTGAATTTTCCATTTATAATTTTGTTTTTGTTTTTCAAATACAAAACAGGAAATCTTAACTAGACTGACAGACTCGATACTACTGTACAAGACTTAAAATTAAAAGACAACATAAGATAGACTAAAAAAAAAATATAAAAAAAAATTTCCTCAAGCAGCTCGTGCATGCAATGGTCTTGACTAGAATGGTCCTGGGTATTTATCATGCTCAAACTCTAGCAAATTGCTCCATACCTAAATGAAAAAATAAGATCAAATAGAGTTAGTGACTCAAGACACATGTGACGCCACGACGACATATGCAAGGCACGATGGGCTATTTTCGCAAGATGGCTTACGTGGCCAAAGGTGGCTATTAATGCAAACTCAACAAGATTGACCTCTAAGACATGGAAATACCTCACTAAGGCTTATATGGATTCAACTCCCAGTAATCATGGCCCAAAAAAATTATTTTGCAGAAATGACCCATTTCGCAAAAACGACCGATATGGCCAGAAGTGGCTAAAGAGGCAAACTCAATATTGAAGGACCTTAAAGTAATATGACACCTAGTTGTGGACTCAAAATCCTAAAACATGGGTTATTGAACCACTTTTTGCGAAAATGATCCCATTTTGCGATAATGGCCGATATGGCAGCAAGATCTGGCTAAGACCCCGCAAAGCCAAGAACCTAAGATTTACTCGAAAGACTGGACCCTATGTGGGTTGCCTACGTATCCCGCCCCGAAAGACGAGAATCAGGTTCGCGTAGTTCGGGAAGATCGGACATGGAGGAAAGCTTTAAAAATGCGACTAATTTGGGAAAACCATTTTTTGTCTTTTTGAGAAATGATGGAAAATGTAAAATCTTTTTGGATTTTCTTTTTCTCCTTTTTTTTGAATTTTTGGAAAATGATAAATGATGTAAAATCTTTTTGAATTTACTTTTTATCTTTTTTTTTTTTTGAATTTTTTGAAAAATGATGGGAAAGTGTAAAATCTTTTTGGATTTTCTTTTTCATTTTTTTTATTTTTGGAATACTATGAAAGAAAAATGCGAGTGGGCCCTACTTGCTTCATTTTTCACCCTTCTTTCCCAAACATCGGTCTGTCAAATGATCGTTTTACCCTCAAAGATGCAACATGTATCACATAGGGATGATTGAATGTCTTTTTGGGCCACGGGCCCATTTTTGACAAAGTTTGGATAAGCTTCCTACAAAGAGACACGGTACCTAGGACCGAGCCCTGCTAGGTATAAATGACATGATGCAAATAGAAATGACCGAAAGGCTGACCTACGCTTGGGGTTCACTAGACAAGGCAATTCGGGGCGGCACGTGGTCGATGGCGGCTGCTCTAGCTGTCCGCCCACTCCACGCTCCCACGCCACCCTCTACAGACACGGGTGACTCACAAAAAAGCCGTGTACGCTCAAACGTACTCCGGAAGACTTGTTGCAGAAAGAAGATGCGGGGTTATGCAAATGATGACAATTATAAAGCAGTAAGCACATAACGTAAAAACTATAAACAAATAAACAGCTAGCAAAAAATAAAAAGATATAAACAAAATAAAAATCAAATAAAGCAAACAAAACACAGAAAAACCTCAACCTAATATCCTAAAAGCCAACAAGATCAAGTACTAGCTCGAACCTGCAACTCCCCAGCAGAGTCGCCAGAAATGTCACACCCCTTTTTTTAAACAAACCTCACTTAACCCTCTTAAATTAATAAAAAAGGATTTTGTGAAAGCTTGAAAAAGGTTTTCAATTTGAAAAGTGACAAAAATTTGTGTTCAAAGGAAATAACTCAGAGTCGCCACCTGACATTAATTTCGGTGTGCCAGGCCACCGTTTTTTTTAGAAATAATTTTTCCTTTAAAACACTTTGGACTCCAAACTAAGTCTGCACCAGAGATTCAGGTAAGGGGGTTCATTTGAATTGGGGAGAAGGTGTTAGGCATTCCCCGAGTCCTGTGAATGTCACGGTTGCGTACTTGATCTAGCTGGCTTTTAGAATTCAGATTGAGGTAAAATAAGCACGGAAAAGCAAAATAAACACATACGAAGCTCGAGGTCGTCCCCACCTAGTAAAAGAAAATGAAAAGGGAAAGAAAGAAAAATCCTAAGCTAACCTATACTAGGACTTCTCCACCATGCTCGTCAAGGCCTCCAAAATATTTACATAGTTCTTCGGGGCATACCCCGGATAATAATATATACAAATCCCTCGAGGTATTCCCCGGATAAATTCAACTAAGGAAACGACCTCTTGCCTCGAAATTAAAAGCAAACAAATAGAAAAATCCTAAGATTACCTACCCAAATTTTGTCGGCCTAAAGCATGCTCCTAACAGACAATGCAATAAAATGAGAAAATAAAAGAAAGGAAGGTTCTAAATCATGCTCATATTTAATTTCATTTGCTAGACCAAGCCCAATCCTAGCATGCAAATAAGTTTAAACACTAATGGGCTAGTCTTTTCCCTATCCCCACAACCCAATTTACTCAACGAAAGCGAGTTCATCTTGAAGCCTCGAAACAAATAGAAAGCAATCAGGCAAACAAGTGCAACGCCATGTAAAAGAAAAAGAACAAAATGAATAAAGAAAAGGTGGATCGAAGCATGATGAGAGCCATGACCCTCCCACGGACTAATTTGTGATTTACCCCACTTCACTGTTCCTACTTGAGTTATTCTTTTCGAATTCCTCTTTAACCAATTTCCAAAAAATTAAGGATCTTACATGTATGGACTTTCACACCAAGAACATTTGAACGCAATTCCTTCCAAAGCAAAACCAAATCTGAAGCTAGCTATCTTTTGAATATCAAATACGGCAATAGAGAACCAACATCACATAATTCTCATGTTTAACTTAACTCTAGTTTAACGCCAAAAACCATGTCGCAAATGCTTTCATCCATATCACCAAATTACTATCATTTTCCAGTTAGCTTCTTATGGGACAAATAAACGAGCAAACTGACTCGAAACAGGATTCTCAATTACCCCAGCACAGAACAGGTTGTCAAATGAGGACATACTTCACCAATATAAACTGAAAATGAGTAGGCAATTATCAGTTATTTATCCAAAAAAAATCATCTGATTCACAGAAACATCAAAATGAGACCATATCTACGGAAATCACAAAATGCACGTCAAGATCATCCATCTTAAACACTAATAGAATTTTCAAACTGGTCTTAATGGCTCTTATTATATTTTCGATCAACACCAAACATAAAAATAAAAGGGAAGAAGGGATAGAGATGAACCTGATGAGGAATTAACTTGTTAATAATAGTGGAATAAGCGACAAACACAACTTTAACGGCAAACTTCAAATAAAGAAATCACAACAGAATGCGAACGGAACCCCGAGCCAGGTTCGAATCGGCGACTAGAATCGAAATCTCGAACTTCAACCAAACTCCACTTCGAATTCAAATCAACTCCACGTGAAAGGATAAAAATCAGAAGATGAAGCGCGTTTTTCCGGACTGGAGAAGCATAAAAGTCGAAAAAGAAAAAAATTGTTTCTGTTTTAATATGAACGAACACAAAAATCAGAAGGGAAAGTTGGAAATCAAAACAAAACTCTTGTCTTTTTTTTTTTTCAGATCTCTCTATGAATGAACTCCAAATGAAAACCAGAAGGAGAAAACCAACCCTAGCTTTTCTCTCCTTCAGCCAATCCCCTGAAATTTGTGATGAAGCCCCCTTTTATGAATAGAGCCTGTGAGTTTTTATGTGTCCCCTCCGAAATTGTGCTTGGGAGGAAGCAAAATTGTCACGACCCAAAAATCCACTAAGGGTCGTGGTGGCGCCGAACACCATTGTCAGGCAAGCCAACGAAATAATCAATTAAATTCTCTTTTTAATACCTTTAAAATCTAGGGTTTTTCCTTCCATTTTTCATAAATAAAAAGATCACTACTTCAATTCAAATTAAGTAATAAACAACTAGTACAAATCTTTCGAAAATCATCCCAGAACCCGGTGTCACAAGTGAATGAGCATCTACTGATAAGAAAATAAAATACAACATCCGTCCGAAAGACAGTAGACAGGAAATAAATATAATATGCTGAAAGGGACTACACTAGCTGCGGGTCGCCTCGAATAATGCAACTCACCTAGTCCCAGAATCATCCGCGCTGCTACGCCCAGTAGGCCACTAGGATTACATATACCTGTGCAACAAAAATGCACAGAAGTGTAGTATGAGTACGTAATCAACGTGTACTCAATGAGTATCTCGTCTAATCTCGAAGAAGTAGAGACGAGATGATCAACTTTGACACTTACTAGAGGTCAATTAACAATATTCTAAAATGTGAGGAAATCATGGATTTATATAGTAGTTCTAACTCACGAAGCCGGAAACAGGCAAACACCTTTAACAAATAACAAGGGAGATTCAAGGTTTATTTTTCTTTATTTTATCAATTTATCTCAAGCCATGAAAGGCAATATCAACAATTAAAATTCTCAGGCAACAATATATAAATCATGCGCAAATCATGCCGAGGCGACGGCCCGCTCCAAAAGAAATAAAATGTGCACTTGTCGAGGGTCGACGACGCGCCTATAGATGCATCTATTTAATCTACCGAGGCGTTTGGCCCGTTCCAAAATAAACACACCCAAACAGACAGTCAATCAAGAACTTATCGGGGAATATTTTTTCAAATAAAACCAATTCTTCTTTAACAAATTTTAAGAAATGAAGTTTAATCCTTTTAAAAATTCATTTACTAATTCAATGTGATTTAAGCAATTCAAGCTATCAATGGGTTCATAAATAGTCCAAGTATAACATGCTTTTGGGTCCTAGACTACCCGAACAATAGCATAATAGTTGCTACGCACGGACTCTCGTCACCTCGTGCGTACGTAGCCCCCACAAATAGGAGCACATAACCAATTAACTCACCTATGGGGACAATTCCCTCTTACAAGGTTAGAAAGGAGGCTCACCTCGCTCCGAAGATCCATAACCGGCTTCCGCGCCCTTCCGAAGACTCTAATTGATGCACCACGCTCCAAAACTAGCCAATGGTTACGCAAATCCATTAATATATGCTCAATGATTCATTACAATCTAATTTATAGCAATTCCTAACTCCAATCGAAAAGTTGACCAAAACGCCCTCGGGCCCACTGCCCGGAATCCAAAATTTTTCGAAGATAAAGATAACCCATGACCTTAGGAACTCAAATATATAATTTTTACTAAATTCCATACTCAATCTCGTGGTTAAATTCCAAGAATACAAATTGTAGGTCTTTCTACCAAAACTCCCAAATTTCTACTAATTTTAATGCTCAAATTCATACATAGTTGATGTATTTAGCTCAAAATAGGTGGGGATAACTTACCTTATCATTGATGATGAAAATCCTCTCTTGAAGCTCCCCAAAAATCGCCAAAGCTATGAAAAATATGAGAAAAATGGCCAAGTCCCGATTTTAAAACAACCATTCTGCCCTGCTATTTTCGCACTTGCGGTCCATTGACCGCTTCTGCGGTTCCGCAGGTGCGGCCGCTCTACCGCATCTGCAGTCCTTCCCAGGCCCCCTTATTTCCGCTTCTGCGAGGCCTCTACCGCAGATGCAGTTCCGCGTCTGCGGCTCCTCGACCGCATCTGCGGCCCCCCTTCACTTTGGTCCAAACTGCATCTGCGGCTCCGCACCTGCGGCCTATTTTTCGCAGGTGCGGTTATGACAGCAACCAGCAATCCTCAACCTTCCAAAAATCCCATTTTTGATCCGTTAACCACCCGGAATCCACCCGAGGCCCCCGGGACCTCAACCAAACCTACCAACCAATCCCAAAACACATTATGGACTTGCTCGAGGCCTCAAATCACATCAAACAACGCTAAAATTACGAATCAACCCCCAATCCAAACTTAATGCAACATTAGAATTTCAAACTTCTATTTTCGATGTTTAAACCTATCAAATCACGTCCGATTGACCTCAAATTTTGCGCACAAGTCATATTCGGCATTACGGACCTACTCCAACTTTCGGAATCGGATTCCGACCCCGATATCAAAAAGTCCACCCCCGGTCAAACTTCTCAAAAACCTTCAAATTTCTATTTTTAGCCAAATGGCTCCAAAATGACCTAAGGACCTCCGAATTCACTTCCAATTGCGCTCCCAACTCCGAAATCACCATACGGAGCTATCCGCAGACTCGGAATCCCAAACGGGCATCGATAACACTGAAATGCACTTCAAGCCAAACTTATGAAATTTCTTCTAAAATGCTAACTTCCACAATAGGCGCCAAAATACTCCCGGGTTATACAAAACCCGAACCTGGCATACGCCCAAGTCCGTAATCATCATACGAACCTGCTGGAACCTTCAGATCCCGATTTCGAGGTCGTTTACTCCAAACTTCAATCCTAGTTCTTTCTTTCAACTTTAAGCTTCCGAAATGAGAATTCTCCTCCCAAATCAACTCTGAACTTCCCGAAACTCAATTCCGACCGCGTGTGCAAGTCACAATACCTGAAATGAAGCTGCTCGTGGCCTTAGACTGCTGAACGATGCGCTTGGGCTCAAAACGACCGGTCGGGTCGTTACAAAAATGTTAAAACTGTGTGGTCCCCACTGTGCAATAAAATACCGCGTCCATGAATAGAATTGTAGTGTCTGTGATAAGTTTGTTGGAGGAACTATCTAGAAGGGCGACATGGGAAAAGGTGATTGGAAGTTGAGAAAAGAAAACTGAAATATAAAAAATGAAAATAAAGAAAGAAATATAAAAAATGAAAACGAGACCACTTCTGTTCTTTCTTTTCTTGATTTTACCTTTGCTTTTCCATTCTTTCATTTCATTCTCATCGTTTTTCTTCTTCTTTTTTGTTTTGTTTTATTTGTGTTTTTTTATTCTAAATATGATTCAAAATACTACTTTTATCTAAATAATCGGGAATAATTAAAAGGGAAAACAAGATAAGAATAATAAAGAAATCTAAATACTACTCAATATATACTAAAACCTACAACTTTAAAACTAAACTAAGTATGTATATTTTTGAAATTTTTCTTCTTATCTTTTGGAAAATAAAATGCCAAGACTATTTTTGTATTTTGTATTACTTTTTTTCAAAAGTAAGACTAACTAGACAAAATATCAACTAGCTAAAATAAAGGAACATATTTTGTAGTTTTCAATTTTGTGATAAAATAATGTAAAGAGTCAGAATTAGTTGAAATAACTATATTAGGTCTAAATAAAATATTTAAATATTAAAATATGTAAAATCTCGGGGAGGGTCAAAAATCACATGTCTACAAGTGGTTGCAGGTGCGAGGTCTTTTCCGCACCTGCGACGGTCGCAAAAGCGGGCAGAACGACGCAGATATAAGATTTTTTCGCAGGTATGATGTGGTTTCCGCACCTGCGATGTGCGCAGATACGGTGTTTCGATTGTAGAAGCGGAGGCAGTGGCTAAAGTGACTTTCCACAAAAGCGGAGTTTAGACCAAAGATGAAGATACTGAGCTGCAGGTGCGAAGAGCCTAGGCAGAGCATATAAAAATGGGACTTCGAGATTTTTCACTATTTTCATCATTTTGCTTGGATTTGGAGATTTGGAGTGGGATTTCAAAGTGATAACTGAGGTAAGTTCCTTGTGCCTATTTATCTTCAATAATGGTGTTTCCCCACTGATTTTACACCTAATTAGTGAGATTTTGAAGTGAAATTTAGGAGTTTAGGGCTTTAGAATTGGAGAGTGAATTTTGGCTATTTGGTTGACCAAATGGCGTCGGATTTTGATAAATTTAGTATGGTAAGACTAGTAAGTAAATGGGCTTTCGCGTTCTGGGACTTTTGTCGGATTTCGAGACGTGGGTCTGGGGGCCGAGTTGAACCAATTTCGGACTTTTGGGTCTAATTTAGTAGTTTTTTTGTGGAATTGATCCCTTTAGCCTATATAATTGTATTGTATTGCTTGTGGATAGATTCGGTACATTCGGAGGTTGACTCACGATTCAAGGGCATTTTGGAGTAGAGTTTCGCTCGGATTAAGGTAAGTAACAGTTATAAATCTGGCCCTGAGGGTATGGAACCCCGAATTTTGTGTCATGTGATTGTTTTGGACGTGACACACATGCTAGGTGACGAGCGTGTGGGCGTGCACCGAAGGGATTGTCACTTAGTCCATCCCGTGAGACCGTAATGTCAAAAAGCTTACTATTAACTATATGTTCCCTCCCTTTTATGGAAATTTGACAGAAATTCATGTTAGAAAGCATGCTTAGGCGATATGGTATCACTGTTGGGACCCATTGAGGTCGTGTACTTGTTAAATTAGCTGCTATTTACTGTCTTGTACCAAGCCATGATTTTACTTGCGTACCATACCTCCATCTATTCTTATTCGTTGTTGAAACATGTTATTATCTCTGTTTGGGATGAATTATATGATTTATCAGAGCCTGAGAGAGAAGGGAGGCTGATAACTGAGTGATGCCTAGGGCCTGATGGTGAGATATTGATACCATAGCATGTGAGTTGTCCATGCAACACTTGAGTTGCCCGTGCGGATCTTGATTGATATTATAGCACGTGAGTTGTCTGTACAACACGCAAGTTGTCCTTGCGGATTATAGCCCTTGGGATGTAGGAGCCCCTCCGTAGTCTGCACACCCTAGTGAGCGCAGGTACCTATTGAGTGTGAGTACTGAGGGCTGAGAGCCGAGTGATTGAGCTATTGAGAAGAGTTGAGTGACTGATGCCCTGAGAAGTTGTACTTGCTTTCATTTGTTGTTTAACTTAGTTGATACTTGTCATTGCTGTGAAATTCCTTGAAGATTTTATATCTGGTCTCTTTGAACTTGAAATTGTATAAAACTGTCTTGACTTAAACTGCCGGATTTGAAAGCATGTCTATTCTTTACTGAAATTACTAAAATGAATTGTACTTGTATAGCTCGTCACTGCTTCTTAATTCCTTATTTATTTATGTTACTTGCTGAGTTAGTAGTACTCACGCTACACCCTGCACTTCAGGTGCAGATCCAGGTGTGTCCGATCACGGAGGACATTTAGCTCGGGCCTAGTTGATTTCCGGAGATTTACAAGGTAGCTCCCGGTGTTCGCAGTCCTTGTTCTCTTTATTTGCTATTTTTCTTTTCTTTATTGACATTTAGACATAGACTATTGTAAGTACTATTTTTCTCAGACTGGAGATCTAGTTGCTCATGACTTGGTGACACCCCGATTTTTGGGGCTATCTTTCCACATTGTATTTTGAATTTAACTTCTTTTTTTTTTTTATGAAAACTCAATAATTAAAAAGATTTTGTTTTATCTTTTATGACATATCGGAGTATTTTGAAAAATTGGCTTGCCTACTACCATCGATGGGCGCCATCACGACGGGTTAGAGTTTTGGGTCGTGACAAGTTTGTATTAGATCCTAGGCTATATAGGTTTCATGAGTCATGAGAAGATTTAATAGAGTCTTGCGGATCGGTACGGAGACGTCTGTACTTATCTTCGAGAGGTTGTAGAAACCTTAGGAAACATCACATTCTTGAATTCTTATCGTGCAGATCTATTGATTCGGGTAGCTAGGGGTGTACATAGGTCGGGTTGGTTCGGATTTTACAATTACCAAACCAAACCAAACCAATTGTGTCGGGTTATTAAATCTAAAGACCAAACCAAACCAATAAAACTCGGGTTTTTCAATCTCGATTTTTCTCGGGTTTTCGGGTTTTTTCGGGTTTTTCCCGGTAAAATCTTCGTAGAACAAAACATATAACGTATGCTCAAAATATTTTTTTAATCCTAGTAAGATACAACTATATAAAGTATTTTCCAAGAAAATAATTAAAAATATGAGATGTGTCATGGAATTATCTAAAAATATTCAACAATAAAGACAATAAAATTATGTAATATAAATATTGCTAATTAAAAAATCATAATAAAAATAAACATAATCTAAAAGTACTAAGTCATGCAAAAATAAATAGACTAATAAGGAAATATTAATTACATGACTAAACGCTAAAGAAAAATAAAAATAGGTTATGCATTTTTATCTAAATTATTGCAAAACAAAAAATAGATATTCAATACATTCATGTTCGTAATATTAAATTGAATGTCTTTTGTTAGCATTAGTATTGATTTGATTTTGGTTTGGGATTTTGTTAGCATTATTTAATTTACTAATAGTAATGGCTATAAAACTTGTTGGAGCATTCAAAAGTTCTAAGTCCAACCTTGAAATAATACATTAAAAGATAAAATTATTAATTATTTTTTAAGAAATATTTATAAATTACATCACAATAAGTATATTTATACATTAATTTTATCTAAAATTTATATATATGTATTGTCGGGTTGGTTTGGTTACGGTTTGACTTTCTTTAGTTAAAACCAAACCAAACCAATTATTGTCGGTTTTTTTTCCAACATCAAACCAAATCAAACCAAACCATAATCGGGTTTTTTTCTCGATTTGACTCGGATTATCGGGTTGGTGCGGTTTGTCGGTTTCCTTTGTACACCCCTACTGGTAACTAAACTTCTGTTATTCTATTCTGTTACAGATGGTGAGAACACGTGCTACTGGGTAGCACGGAAAGACACTAGTACCACCAGTCGGGGCCGCGAGAGGCCAATGTCGCGGTAGAGGCCGTGGTAGGGGTAGAGGTGCATCTCACACATCAGCTAGGGTAGCACCTACAAATCCACCAGTTGCCCCAGTTCAGGATCAGATCCCAATTGTGGATGCGCCAGCGGGACCAGCTCAGCCACCAGTTGTGCCCATTATTATTCCAGGCCTTGAGGAGACCTTGGCTCAGATTTTGACCGTGTGCACAAGTCTTTCTCAGGCGGTCTCTGTTTTGACCATTACAACCACTTCTCCGGCCAAAGGAGGTGCTCAGACTCCTGCCGCCCGCACACCCGAGCAGGTGATGCAAGGACTCCAGACACCTGGGGCACCACCAGCCCAGCAGGTTGTAGTTGCTCAAGAATATGTGGTTCCCGTCATGCCTGATGATGAGCAGCGTAGGTTGCAGAGGTTTGAGAGGCTCCAGCCTCCGTCTTTCAGCGGTGCGGAGGGAGAGGATGCCCGGGGTTTCTTGGACAGATGTCAAAGGATCTTGCATACAACAGGTATTCTGGAGACTAGTGGGGTCTCGTTCACTACTTTTCAGTTCACTGGAGTTGCCTTCACTTGGTGGGAGGCTTATGAGAGGCGTAAGCCAGTTGGTGCAGTGCCACTTACATGGCAAGAGTTCTCCGCTCTCTTCTTGGAGAAGTATGTGTCACAGTACGATATGAGATTTTTCGAGTTAGCACATCATGCAATTTGGCTAGTTCCCACTCAGAGGCAGAGGATCAGGTGGTTCGTTGATGGCCTCACAATTCAGCTGCGGGTGTTTATGAGTAGATAGAGAATGTTTGGTGCTACTTTTGAGGAGGTTGTTGACATTACTCGGGAGATAGAGTATGTCCGCTGCCACGAGCAAGTTGAGAGGAGGCCAAGAGGCTTTGTGGATCAGGTAGTCTAGGTGTTCCTTCTTGGGGTCAGTTCAACCACGATAGGGGTCGTCCCTATAGGCATGCTCGGATGACTCAACAAGTTCATCCCGGTGCGTCAGTCAGGCACAGTTCTCACATTGCTTGCTCAGGCTAGCCTTCATTCAGTGCACTACCAGCGTAGAGTTCTTGCCATGCCTCGTCCTCTCAGGTTTATACGGGTAGTTCCTCGGGGTATCAGGAGCAACAATTCCGTTAGAGAAGGGGTTGTTTCGAGTGCGGGGATGTTGGTCATATCAAGAGAGATTGACCTAGGTTATTGAGCGAGACTCCGCAACAGAGTTCTCGGTCGATAGCACAAGAACCAGCTGCTACACCACCCGCACAACCAACTCGGGGTGGGGCCCAGTCAGCTGGAGGTCTCCCTAGAAGGGGAGGTCGATCAGGTGGAGGTCAGACCCATTTCTATGCACTCTGAGCCAGAACAGATGTCATTGCTTCTGACATAGTGATCGCAAGTATTATCTCAGTATGATATCGAGATGTTTCTATACTATTTGACCATGGTTCCACCTATTCATATGTGTCGTCGTATTTAGCTTATTATTTAGACATGCCCCGTGAGTCTCTAGTTTTATTTGTTCGTGTATCTTCGCTGGTGGGCGGTACTATTATTGTGGACCGTTTATACCGGTCGTGTGTAGTGACTATTGGGGGATTAGATAACTAGAGTTGATCTGTTGCTGCTTAGTATGGTTGATTTTGATGTGATATTCAGTATGGATTGGCTTTCTCGATGTCATGCTATTTTGGACTGTCACGCTAAGAATGTTATATTGGCAATGCCGAGTTTTCCATGGATTGAGTGGAGAGGTTTTTTAGACTATGTTCTCAGTAGAGTGATTTCATACTTGAAGGCCCATCGGATGGTTGGGAAGGGTTGTCTTTCCTATTTGGCCTTTGGGAGGGATGTTAGTGCAGAAACCCCTACAATTGATTTTGTTCCGGTGGTGCGAGATTTTCTGGATGTGTTTCCTGCAGACCTGCCGTGCATGCCACCGGACAGGGATATTGACTTCGGTATTGATCTGGTACCGGGCACTTAGCCCATTTCTATTCCAGCGTATCGTATGGCACCGACGGAGTTGAAGGAGCAGCTTGAGGAACTCCTTAATAAGGGGTTTATTCGGCCTAGCGTGTCACCTTGGGGTGCACCAGTTCTATTTGTGAAGAAGAAGAATGGTACTATGAGAATGTGCATTGTATACAGGCAGTTGAATAAAGTTACAATCAAGAACAAGTATCCTTTGCCTAGTATTGACGATTTATTTGACCAGCTTCAGGGAGCGAGGATGTTCTCCAAGATCGCTCTGAGGTTAGAATATCACCAATTGAAGATTAGGGACTCGGACATTTTTAAGACACTACCCGTTATGGTCATTATGACTTCTTTGTGATATCTTTTGGGCTGACCAACAACCCAGCAACATTTATGCATTTGATGAACAACGTTTTTTGGCCTTATCTCGAATCTTATAGGTGTAGTATTTGTTCAGCCAAGTAACATCTTATTTATAGAAAGCCGACGAACGGGACCGGCGACGCAAGTGGTCGACTAAAGCTGAAACTTATTTGATGTTTTGGGGAAGCACACTGACATGACATTTCCGATCACTTCAAGTGCCAACGTCACGGGCGTGACATCATCACGACAGGCTCGGAAAAATCTAGATTCAAATCATTTTTTATCATTTCATTCTAAGAAACGTGGGGACTATCTATATAAGTTAGAAATGGCAGCTCGATTTTTAAGACTAGACTACACTACGAGTCTGAGTTCTGAAAGCTCTAAGTAAGAATCAAGCCGGGCCCAGATGAGCGCACCTCGAGAGGCGAATCGAGGACCCATCATGACCTGCCTCGAGGGTAGTACAATTTCGAGGACACTCAAGAAAGAGCTGGAATTTCTCAAGAACACGTGGGTCAGGGCATAAATTACAGGATAAAATTTGTACGAAATAGTACAAGTCCGTACTAGGTTGTTATACAGCTGTACCAATAGAATTCTTTACCATAATTAGAAATGTACCATATTGGGGTTTTCCCTTTCTATATAAAGGGACCCAAATCTTTGTAAAGCATATCTCATTCACTGCAATAGAACATTCTACTCTGCTTTTCTTGTTTACCGTGCTCAACAATTATTCTTCAGCTTTATTGTCTTTACTTTTTTGTTCATACTTTATTGCTCTTAGATCACCTCGAGGCTCCTGAGATAATCGAGCTCGAGGTCCTTATTGCTCTAACAACACTGGTTTGGTTCATCAATTCTTCTTACTTAAGCTTAATATTATTCATATATTCACTAGTATTGAAGTAAATCACATATCTTTAAAATCACAAACCATATTTAATTGTTAATCACATTTTTCGAGGTAAATAGATAGTTATGTGTAAATAGTTCTAATCCTATATGTAGTAGGAGTAAAATATGTATTATATATTGGGCTCATTGTATCATTGTTAATAAATATAGATTTTTCTCCTGTGTATTCTCACAATCCTCAATCCCGTAAGATATAGAATATTTGAAATATGTTCCTTCACTGGTAAATGGTTTAAGCAATTAAAACACAGTCTCAAGTTCACCATGCTTCTTTCGCAATCCTATCTCACAAATAATCTCAAGCTTAGCTTAGAATATAAACTTTTGAATATCCGGTGGATGCTTTAGGCGCGTTCTAATCTATTATCGTGATTGTATACACGTTTGCGTGATATAATTATGAATTCCAAAATAAATCAAGGTCTAAACAATATTAACAAATAATAAAGTGTTGTTAGTTGTGTACACGCACGCATCACATGATTTTTAGCGCTCTAAATAAAACGGATTCACACACATGTGGTTCATTTCAAATAAATTCCATAACGCCATAATCGAGTTTTAAAAGCGATAAAGGTGAAAACGCATATAGGTTCTAAAAATACATAATCAAACCAAGTTATGATTATAAAGTGACCGCGCTAAAACCGTGGAACACCAGAATGCCTAATACTTTCTCTTGGGTTAACACCATTCCTTACCCGGTCTTCTATGATTCGTAGACTTTAAACAGAGTCAATTTTTCTTGATTTGTGATTTTAAAATAAGTGGTGACTCGAAACACCAACAACAACAACAACAACCTAGTAAAAATTTTACAAGTGGGGTCTGGGAAGGGTAGAGTGTATGCAGAACTTACATCTACCCCGGAGGGGGTAGAGAGGCTGTTTCCGAAAGATCCTTGGCTCAAGAAGAAGAAAATAAATAATAGACAATAGACATTAGACTAATGACATCAACAGAAGCCAGAAAAATAAAATAATATCAGCCTCGTAAGAAACAGAAAATAAATGTAAAAGCAATAACAATAACCAGTACTAATGCCATAGAAGATAGTGTGGGAGCTACATAAACCACTAACAACCCAAGGCGACACATTATCAGCCTAGCCCGCCCCCGGAAACAACGTAGAAAAGTGCTCAACTCCCTCTTAACCTACAACCCTAATGCTCGACCTCCAAACCTTCCTATCTAGAGCCATGTCCTCTGAGATCTAAAGTCGCACCATGTCCTGCCTGATCACCTCACCCCCAATACTTCTTAGGCCTCCTTCTACCTCTCCTCATACCTTCTAGTGACAACCGCTCACACCTCCAAACCGGGGAATCTATGCTTCTCCTTCGCACGCACCCGAACCATCTAAGCCTCGCTACCCACATCATGTCGTCTATGGGAGCCACGCCCACCTTCTCCCGAATAGCTTCACTCCTAATCTTATCCATCATAGTATGCCCGCACATCCATCTCGACATCCTCATTTCTGCCACTTTCATCTTCTGGGTATGGGAATTCTTGGCTGCCTAACATTCCGCCCCATAAAGTATATCTGGTCTAACCACTGCTCTATAGAACTTGCCTTTAAGTTTTGGTGGCACTTTCTTGTCACATAGGACTCCAGATGCTAAGCTCAATTTCATCCACCCCCACTCTTATACGGTGCGTGACATCCTTGTCAATCTCCACATCCCCTGGATAATGGACCCAAGGTACTTGAAACTTCCTCTCTTGGGGATGACTTGTGAATCAAGCCTCACGTCCATTCCCCCGATGCATCGTTAATTTACACTCCAAATAATCTGCCTTAGTCCTACTCAACTTGAAACCTTTAGACTCTAGGGTCTGTCTCCAAACCTTCATTCTCTCATTAACGCAGCATCGCACCTTATCAATCAGAACTATATCATTACGAACATACACTATGGCACCTCCCCTTGAATATGGTACGTTAGTGCATCCATCACCCTCCCTTCCGCCACCCTCTCCCAAACTTTCATGGTATGACTTAGTAACTTTATGCACCTGTAGTTGTTAAAATTCTGAATATCACCCTTGTTCTTGTATAGCGAGATCATCATACTCCACCTCTATTCATATGATATCCTCTTCATCCTAATGATAAATTGAAATAGTTTTCAGCCATTCAAAACCTGCTTTACCCACACACCTCCATAATTCTACCGGAATTTCGTCCGGCCAGGTTGCTCGGACCCCTACTCATCTTACGCATAGCTCCCATTATGTGATGACCCAAAAGGTCATGACTTGCTTTGAAAATAAATTCTGTGTCCCGAGGCCTTAAAGCTTCCCTTTTGTCTCACCACGATTTGCATGCACAGTTCGGACGCGTATTTGGAAAGCCATTATGTGAAAAATATGTGAAATGATAAAGCTTGCTTTTAAAATAAATTTAAGTTGACTTCGGTCAATATTTTGGGTAAACGGACCCGGACCCATGATGTGAAGGTCCCGAAGGGTCCGTAAGAAAACATGGGACTTGGGCGTATGCCCGGAATTGAATTCCGAGGTCCCAAGCCCGAGAGATGAATTTTTGAAGAAATTATTTTCTGGAAAATATGAGTTTTTGGGAAATGAAAGATGTTGAAATTGATGGTATCGGGCCCGTATTTGGTTCCGGAGCTCGGTACATGTTTGGAATAATAATTTAGCTGAATTTGTGAAGTTTGATAAGAATCGGAGTCCGTTCAGTATAAATTGGACCTTATTTGGGAAGATTGGAAATTTTGATGTTCTTGAGAGATTTCATGAATTTGAGGCTTAATTCATTGTGGTTGATGTTATTTTGATGATTTGATCGTACGAGCCTGTCCGTATGATGTTTTTAGGTTAGGGTGCATGTTTTGTTTAGAGCCCCGAGGGCTCGAGTGAATTTTAGATAGGCCTCGGAGTGCATTTAGACTTAGAAAAAAATAATTGTTGCAGGTTCAGAGAAGTTGCAGGTCTCTGAAACAGGCTTTGCAGTCCGCAATGATTTCTTACGACCGCGGTGGGATTTATGCGGTCCGCGGTGAGCAAGCCTAAGTCTTCGCGGCCGCGCTCGATATTTTGCGGTCCGCGGTGGAGCTCCGCGACCGCAATCCTTTTTATCCGGTCCACACTGAGGGTCTGAGAGGAGTATATAAACGGGACTTTTCAGTTATTTTTCAATTTTCAGAAACCTAAAACATAAGAGGCGACTTTTCAAACACTCTCTCTTCCTCAAAACACAAGTAAGTGATTTTAAACTCATTATTTCACTCCTTAACTTTTTTACAAGATTCCGTCCTAGAATCTACGGTTTTCATGATAGAATTGGAAATTTTGAGAAAAACCTAAGAATATTGAAATTTGTGGATTTTAGACCTCAAATTGGGGTCGGATTCCAAAATCAATTATATATCCGGGCTCGGGAGTGAATGGCTAATCGGGTTTTGGTTCGAATTTCGGGTTTGGACCAAGCGGGCCTGGGGGTTGATTTTTGACTTTTTATGAGGAAATCATTTGAAAACCCATTTTTCATGCATTAGAGTTGATTCATTTAGAATTCATTAATAGTATTAATTAAATTGTGGCTAGATACAATCGAATTGGTGGTGGAAACAAGAGGTAAAGCGGTAGTTGAGTCTTGAATTGTGTTTGTGGCATTGAGGTAAGTGTTTGGTCTAACCCTAGCTTGAGGGATTAGGAGTCGTGTCTTATTTGCTATGTGATAATTGTTGAGTACGACGTATAGGCATGGTGACGAGTATCTATACGTCGGTGTCAAGCATGCCCGTGAGTCTTGTACTTCGATAAATGTGACTCCGTTTCATATTGTTCATGCTTTATGTGATGATATATATATTGTTGGACAAGGATTGAGGAAGTATTATTGGTAATTGAACATTGAAGAGAGGTGGCTCAAGTTGTGAATTGAATTGTGGGAGTATTATTGATAATTGAACATTGTAGAGCGTTGGATCAAGTTGCGAATTGATTTGTGAAAGCATCATTGATAATTGAGCATTGTATAGCGTTGACTCAAGTTATAAATTGAGTTGTAAAGTAATTGTGAAAAAAAGAAGAGGCTTATGAAATTGTCTCCCTTGCTGGGATGTCATTGCTTTTGATATTATCTTCCTTGCCGGGACGTTATTGCCTTTGATATTGTTTCCCTTGCCGGGATAATGTTGTTATGCTATTGTTTCCTTGCCGGGATTTTGTTGTGATTTTATTGATTCACTTGCCCGTATTGCTTTGTGATTGTTGTTTGGGTAAGGAAGAGAGTTAAAGCACGAAGGGTGATGTCATGCATGATATTGTGAGAGAGTGTTAAAGCACGAAGGGTGATTCCGTGCCAATATTGTAAGGTTAAAGAACGAAGGGTGATGTCGTGCCGCACGATGTACAATATCGTTCCATGATATGAGTGATAATGCGCGAAGGATCATTTCGTGCCATGATTATGTGAGGTAAAAGCACGAAGGGTGATGTCGTGCCGATTATTTTGATTCTTATGGTGAGGACGAGAGTAAAAGCACGAAGGGTGATGCCTTGAACTTTGTCTTTGATTTCTAGACTCTTGCTGATAATTGAATTATGGTGTTCTTTAGTTTTATTTATTATTTTCTGTTGTTACTTGATTTCCCCCGCAGCATGTTTTCCCTCTCCTACCTTTACCTGTACATTTCTGCTTTTATTTTTCCTCTGTATATGATTTAACTGCACAGGTTTAGTTGGTAGTCAAGTCCTAGCCTCGTCACTACTTCGCCGAGGTTAGGCTAGGCACTTACCAGTACATGGAGTCAGTTGTGTTGATACTACACTCTACACTGTGTGTAGATCCCAGTGCTGCAACTTCTGGACCAGTCTGAGGTTGCTGCTTCCAGACCGTCAGGCGACCCGAGGTAGTCCTGCAGGCGTCCGCAGGCCTTGGCATCTTCTTTTATCATTTCCTTTCTGTTTTTACTTATTCAGACATAGATTCGTGTATTTCTATTCAGACTTTGTTTGTAGTATTCTTAGATGGTCTGTGACATTGTGACACCAATTATGGGTAGAGTTGTACTTAGACTTCCGTAATTTGTATTAAATCTAAATTAATCAATTTCGTCTTCCCCACTGTTTATGTTATTAATATTTCCGCTGCTTTTATTATATTGTTTTGGAATTGCTAAGGGATTTAAAATGAAAATGGTTAAATAACTGGAATAACCGGCTTGCCTAGCTTTCACTAGTCGGCACCATCACGACTCCCGAGGGTGGAAAATCTAGATCGTGACACATAACCTCCTCTACCTTAATACGCATACAATACCTAAAGTCTAGGTGACTCCCGGAATGCCCTAATTCCCCTAGCACAATGTCTTTGTCCCCTTCTTTATTCATAAGTCTATAGAAGTAATCCTGCCATCTTCGCTTGATCTGGACATCTGCCATCAATACTCCTCCTTCTTCGTTCTTGATGCACCTCACTTGATCCTGGTCACGAGCCTTCCTTTCTCTCACTTTGGCCAGCCGAAATAACTTCTTGTCCCCTCCTTTGTCCCCTAACTCCTCGTACAGACGAGAAAACGCTGCAGTATTTGCCTCCGTGACCGCTAACTTCACCTCCTTCCTGGCTTCCTTATACTTTTCTCTTTTCGCTCTCCTCTTTTCCTCGTCTATGCTCTCCACTAACCTAAGATATGCTGCTTTATTTGCTTACACTTTACCTTGGACCATGTCATTCCACCACCAGTCGCCTCGATGCCCGCTAGAGTAACCCTTCGAGACCCCTAACACCTCTCTCGCCGCCTTTCTTACACATTCTGATGTCGATGTCCACATCTCGCTAGTATCCCTGCTACTCCTCCAGGCTCCCATAACAATCAACCTTCCCTCCAACTCCTGATCTTTATCTCTCGTCAAGGCTCCCCACCTAATCATCGGTTAACCCCGAGCATACCTCTTCTTCCTCTAATAATATACCGACGTCCATCACCAAGAGCCTATGTTTTGTCGCGAGGGTCTCACTCGGGATAACCTTGGAATCCTCGCAAAGCCACCTATCACATCACCTGAGAAGGATGTACAATCTGAGTCTTAGCCACCGTACTCCGAAAGTAACCAAATGCTCCTCCCTCTTTGGAAAACTCGTGTTCGCGATCACCAACTCGAAAGCTCTAGTGAAATCCAACAGTGAAGTACCTTCTCCGTTCCTATCTTCAAAGCCGAAGCCGCAATGCACCTCGCCATATCCACCAGCAGACGACCCTATATGCCCATTAAAATCTCTTCCTATGAATAGCTTCTCCAAAAGCGGCACACCACGCACCACCTTGTCCAACCCCTCCCAGAAGCACCTCTTGACCTCCTCATCTAAGCCTGCTTGTGGTGCTTAGGCGCTAATAACATTTAGAGTGATCCCTCTAACTACTAACCTAATCGCCATTAATCTATCATTTACCCCACCTGACCTTTACCACTTGAACTCTACCACTGACTCTCTGAGTTTCCTATCCACCAAAATACCCACTCCGTTCTTACCCTTTTTGCCTCTCGAGTACCATAATTTATACATGTCCACATTCCTCGCCCTCGAACCTACCCACCTAGTCTTCTGAACTGACACGGAACAGCGTAATTAAATAATTTCGAGTGGCGACTCTCATAAATAAAATAAATCAATCTCATTTCAATAATGCCACTTAAATTGGGAAAACTCCTTTTCCCATATGGAGGTGTGACAATCATCTTCATATGGATGTTGGCCACCTATTGTCTAACCCCACAATCTATCGGAAGCTCGTAGGTAAGTTGAATTGCCTCGCTCATACCCATCCTGATCTATCCTTTGCAGTGCAGCTTCTCAGCCAATACATGAAAACTTCTCAAGTTCCTCACTTTGAGGCTAAAATACGGTACCTTTGTTATCTCCTCACTGATTTGAGTATGGGCTTGTTCTTGCTTCTTCTTTATAGTTTTATTTGGTAGCCTTTTGTGACTCCGATTGGGGCAGATGCCCCTATACACAAAGATCAATCAGTCGGTACTTTATCTCCCTAGGCGGGGCTATAGTCTCTTGGAAATCAGAGAAACAATCTTTGGTTTCCCTATCCTCCGCGGAGGCCGAATACCGATCAATGTGTTGCGTGGTTGCAGAGGCAACATGGTTGGCACGAGTTCTACAATATCTCTCAATTTCTACTTCTTTTCCAATGCTGCTTCACTCTGATAGTCAGGCGGCGATCCGCGTTGCCAAGAATTTCGTCTTCTATGAACACACCAAACACATTGATCTCGACTCTCACTTTGTGTGTCGGTAGCACCTTGCCAGCCTTATTTCTTTGTCGAATGTACCTTCACTTTCTTAGATTGCCGATATATCTATAAAACCCCTTTCCGGGTCATCTCACAGATCCATTTTGGACAAATTGGGTATTGTTTCACATCCCTCCAACTTGAGGGGGGATGTTGGTGATATGATTTCACGTTCATCAGAAGGTGGAGATGATTTGCGAAGAAAACTCAAAAAGAAGGAAGGTGGATTTGTGAAGAATGAGTTTGATGCAAACAAGGTTAATCGAAGTTCTTGTATGAAGAGCTTTTGATATTTGGTTCAAGCTTAATCGGGTCAAGCAGATACTGGGCTCAAATTGTTTCTTCAGACTGCTTATTTCGTTTTGGGCCCAATACACTGATACCTGCTTATATTTTGTTGAAGGAATTAGAAGTATCTGATCAGAAAATAAATTGTATTTGTTTTTTTTGTATATATCTAGTAGGTAAATATAGTTTGACAAAAAAATATAGGACGGGTGGATAGTTAGCTATGCAAAGATTTTGTCTTGTACATAAAGAATTCATTCAATATACTGAAAAGGTTCAGCTACACAAAATTCTCCCCTACGTCAATGAATTCTATTCTTCAATCAATTGAATTTTGTTCAGGTGGGATCAATTCAATAAAAGAAAAAAAGCAATTCGAGTCGGTCTTGGGACAATTCATTACATTTTCTCCTAACTTCTTAGGTAAATCTATTTTATTATTTAACAATGAGCCACTAGACACTATATATCTACCGCATGTACTTATACATATTTACTTATGTTTATAATATATGTACATATAAATATTTTATCCACATAGTGAATAATTTCGAAATTAAATCAAAAAGGCCCTTTTAACTCAGTGGTAGAGTAACTCCATGGTAAGGTGTAAGTCATCTGTTCAAATCCGATAAGGGGCTTTGTAAAACTCCAATCTTGTATTCATATTTGATTCATAATTGAGGGGAGAATTGTATTTTTGTTTGCAATAAAAAAGTAACTAACTGGATAATACATTATCATTACACTTAATTATAATACTTAGTTATAAAGTTGAACATTTGTTTAGTTAATTTTCATTATTATTAATTGATGAATAATGAAAAGTCACTTCTTGAATCACCAAATATTTCTATTTTTCATTATACCATCTAAATCCATTGGAAAGGTTAGAAATCAACAAAAGAAAAAAGTAAGTGGATCTGACTATATTGCTATTGTGATATTTGTCCATATTTCTGATTAAATCTTCTTGTTACTAGATTTTCTATAGGAACAACTATAGGAGTAAATTATTATTCCTTTCCTCTACAGAATAAGAGCTTTTTTTTTTTTTTAAATTCCACATCAAAGATTAATTTCACATTAATTTCTATCTAGATTATATATCTATGTTATATCAAGTAGACTGTAGATTTCAATCTATATATATTTAAAAGGTAGAAAGTCTAGCCTAGAATTATGACAAGTGGCAACATAGGAAAAAGACATGTGGTAGTTTTAGGATAAAATTAGTTAGATTAGTTATAATAAGTTATTTAGTTATTTTTAAATTCAAAATCAAAATCAGCTATTTCCCCCCTTTTTGATTGCTTATTTATTATTATTTTATTATTATCTTTTTTGTTAATTATTGGCTTTTAAATGTTTACCAACGGAAGAAAATAAGTTTTGTCAACTGTTGTGTTCCAACAATGACGATTTCGTACGATTTTTTCCTATTTGGTGAAAGTTTTTTCTATTTTGTGCTCTTCCTTTTAATATGTGGAATATTCATATTCATATTCATTCTCTGCCAATTATTTCATATTTGTATCTGCTACATTACATATGAAGGAGTTTAGCTTGATACGTGGACAACACAACGTGGAACAATTAGGAACACTATATAATTAATGGTAATTTTGTATTTCCTTGCTTATTTTTTTCCATAGTGATGATATCTCTGGGCTATGACTTACTTGAATATAGCTTATGAAAAATTGCATTTACAACCATCTTTAGAGAATCAATTATCTGCGAAAACATACCCTGACTTCTCCCATGTATCTTTCATTTCTTGCGGTGTTAATAATTTAGTTCTTTATGTTCTTTATTTCGTTCATTTGAAACATCAGCACATACTATGGTTGTTTTTCCATTTTTTTTCTATCAAGTTGGTCTAAATTAATGATTAGTAACTGTATAATTATTCAACGACTGAAAAACTCAAATCAGCTTTGGAAGTTTAATATAATATTTTAAAATATCCATATAATTTATGGAATAATAGTAAATCAAATTTCTGTTTGTAAGTTACGAAAAGTTCAAGCAATCAAGTAAAGAATAAGAGTACAGCGGTTGAAATCTCCGTTGATTTACATTATTTGTAGCGGTTGAAATAATATTTATTTTATAATAATGAAGCAATTTTGAGTAATAAAATAAGAGTATCGAAATAGTTTAGATTTAAGAAGTAAAAATATTTATTCATATTATATATTTAAAAAGGAGAGATAGGCACTGACATGAGTGAAAAATAAATAAACAATAAAGTACTTAAACATGCAATCACAACAAAAAATATAGAACAAGGATAAGCATATTTGAATTTAGTAGAAATGACACCAAGTAGTCACTTTGAAGGATTGCTATTTAGAAATTAGTTAGTGTATTCTAAATTTCAGTTTTTTAGGGTTGAAGTAGCTATACTAGTTTATATTTATCAATGTATCCAAGAAAGAGACTCTCTTTCTTTTTCATTCTCTCTTACTCTGTCCCTAATTTTTCTCTTTTGTTCATCTGCAATCTTAAGTTGTTCTTCTCGGTTGACTTTCTTCACTATGGCTCGGTGAGCTCTATTTCTTCTATTTCTCTCCGTGGTGTTTACTTTGTTCCTTTTATTTAATGGTTCTTTACTTGTCCGAATTTTTATGGGTTATAGCTTTGTACAGTAATTTGTATAATGTTCCTCCAATTTCAATGTTATGTTATGCAGGCACCCAATCTAGGAGATGGCATTGGAGATGGCGTTGGAGATGGCATTGGATGGCATTGGAGATGGCGTTCCGTCACCAACTGGGCCTAGAAGATCCTTTGACGGAAGTAACTATGAAAATGGAGCAAACAGCAATTAATAATCATTGTTAGGATGAACTATATTTTTGTGTTGTAACTATTGAGTAACTCTCTTAACTCTCTGCACCTTAAACTTGAATCTTGGATGATGTGGAGTTTGGGTATGTTTTAATATGATGAATATTTTGTTTTAATATGATGATGTGGTTCTTTAAGCTTAGAATTTTTTACTTTTTGAACTTTGAAGCAATCTGAGATTCAAAATGCACTTCAATTTCAGTTACATATTTGACAATTATTTGATCTTCTACAGTTACATATAACCCATATGAACATTAGTCGCAGTCTCTCCTTCTAAAACCTTGGGTGATGCTACAGTATTCCATTTATTAAAAATATTACAATTATGGCAGTATAAAATGGCTATAGTTTGAAAGGGACAGAACATCAATTACGGCGGTTGAAAACCGCCACAATAAGCAAAGTGAACAGCCGTCCTTAAACCTGCATATTGCGGCGCTTTTACCTGCATATTGCGGCGGTTAGTTGAAAACCGCCGTATTACATCTTTTGGCGGAAGCGATTATGGCTTGTGGAGGACGCCATTAATAACAATTGCGGCGGTTGGGAACTGCCGCTATAAGCAAATATGACCGCCGCTATTTCTCCGGTTTTTTGTAGTGGTAACTAGAATCTTGTTTCTTTTCTGGTGTTGATTTGATTATTTAGATCAGAGGAACTCTTCTTACTGATTTGAAAAAAGATTGCACAATTATTTAAAATTAGAATTTTATTTCTTCTCACTCTCTGTTTGTTGTTTCTTGAACATTATATTGTGACTTGTGAGGACTATGAAATCATTTTTTAATCTTACTGCATGTGATTGTTTGCCTTTTACGCTCATCTGTTGTTTGAAAATGCTAAGAGTTTAGAGTTAATTAGAAGTTCCATGTGTTTCTTTTTTTACAATTTTTGCATACCTTTTCTCTTTTGGTTACCTAATTTTGTACATGCATGTTGTGATTTATGGCCTTTCTTCATGGATCCTGAGAATACTGAGAAATTATGGATTGACTTTTGCATGTTGTTGTCTCAGTTTGTACATGCCTACTGAAATGTAAATATGTTTTATATCTATGGTGAAGTTCATAACTATTCCTTCTTCAGGAAAATCATCAGTGTTAACCTATCTGTCTTCTTTGGACTCAGTTTACTATAGAAGAGGGGAGCAAACTTCTGTGATGGTAAGTTCCTTGATGCTAAAGAGCTATTGTGAGGTTATATGCCATATCTTTATATAATTATTATCAATTTGGTTACTAATAAACTTAACAAATAACTTTCAAAGGGAAAGCATAAATATATTAGGCTTTACACTGCAAACTTTGTGATATTACTTAATTTATTGCTTTTTTCCTGGTAATAAGCTTGAGTTTACATCATGAAGGCTTTGTATTACTGAGATTAACACATCAACAATGTAACTCAGGGAGCGACAAAGATATAATGTTGTGTGGTTCTGAAGCAGTATCTCAAATGGTATAATAAGCTTCATTGTTGGAAAACAATTGCTTTTAATATGAATAAAATAGTAAATACTTTTTGTTTTTCTGATCTTACTTGAAGCAAAAGGTTGAGCTTAACATATGAATTACTTTTGGAGCCCTTAAACCTTAATATTTGTGAAGTGTGGCTAAATTTAACTATTGACATATTTAGCACAAGATAACCATTGGAAAACTTTGGAGCACATGCTGAGGCTGGGGTGGTGGAGTGGGTATTATCCTAGCTGGAGCTTCAGATGTTAGGAGATTAAGGAAGTAGAGATCAAGTTTGATTTCTCTGGCCTGCTGGATTCTTTCTTATTCTTCTTAGGTGCTCATTAATCCATTGACGATGTGACGACCCGGCCAGTCGTCTCATTAGTTACCGCTCCGTTTCCCCCATTTCTGTTTCTTTATGCTTTGTTATCCGTGTTTTATGTGATCAAGTTGATTAGTTTGCGTTTGGAGTGGATTTGGTAAGAAATGAGACACTTAGTCTCTTTTAAGAAGGTTTAAGTTGGAAAAATCAACCGGATGTTGACTTATGTGTTAGAGGGCTCGGATATGAGTTCCGATGGTTCGGTTACCTTCGGGAGGTGATTTATGACTTAGGAGCGTGATCGGAATTGGTTTTGGAGGTCTGGAGTAGAATTAGGCTTGAATTGGCGAAGTTGAGATTTTGGCGATTTCCGGTTGGTAGGTGAGATTTTGATTCGGGAGTCGGAATGGAATTCCGAGAGTTGCTGTAACCTAGTTATGTCATTTGGGATATGTGTGCAAAATCTCAGGTCATTCGGACGTGGTTTGATTTGATTTTTGATCAAAAGCGTGTTTCGGAAGTTTTTAGAAGACTTAGGCTTGAATTCGCTGTTAATTGGTGGATTTGGTGTTATTTGAGGTGTTTTGATGATTGGAACAAGTTTAAATGAGGTTTTAGGATGTGTTGGTACTTTTGGTTGAGGTCCCGGGTGCCTCGGGTGAGTTTCGGATGGTCAATCAGACCATTTTCGAAGTTTAAAAGTTGCAGATTTTGGGAGTTCAGGTGTTGCAGAAATTAACCCTTCGCGATAGCGTAGGGTGAGTCGCGATCGCGTAGAAGGAATTTGGAAGGCCAGGATTTAGACCTTCGCGTTCGCGTATAAGGATTGGGGGTCTAGTGGAATTTACTCTTCGCGTTCGCATTAGGTGCCTCGCGTTCGCGTAGGTTTGGGAACTGAGGCATCGCGTACGCGACCAGTGTGTCGCTTTCCCATCGAGTAAAATTGGGTCAATGCAAGGTTGTGCTTCACGAACGCGAGAGTTTGACCGCGTTCGCGAAGAAAGAAGGGTTAGACCTGGGCAGAATGTTTTAAAACATTTCATCCGCGATTTTGGGGTTCATTTACTCCATTGTTGATCTTTTTGAGAGCTTTTTCAAGGGAATTAAAGAGGGATTCAAGGGCAATCGATTGGAGGTAAGATTTATGAACTTGAAACTCGTTTCTATTGTGAAATCTACCTAGAAAATGATGGAACTTAAGCTAAAAATGGAAGAAACTAGGGCTTGGGATTTTGAAATTTGATTTGGGGATTTGAAGGACCAATTGGGGTCGGATTTGAGAACTTTTGGTATGTATGAACTCGTGAGAAGATAAGGAACCCGTTGATGTAAAAATTTCTGAGTTTCGAGAAGTGGGCCCGGAGCTCGGGTTTTTGCTAATTTCGGGATTTTTGATATTTTTCGATTGTTTTCGCTTGGGCTTTGTTCTCTTAGCATATTGTGACGTATTCGTTCTGATTTTGGATAGATTCGGCGCGCGTGGAGGCCGATTCGAGGGGCAAAGACGTCACGAGCTAGAGATTTAGCTGGTTCGATGTGAGTAATGATTGTAAATGATGTCCTGAGGGTTTGAAACCCCGGATTGCACATCGTAGTGCTATATTGAGGTGAGACACGTGCTCTATGATGAGCGTGGGGTCGTTTACTATTGGGGATTGTGACTTGGTCCGTCCCGATTGATGATTTTACCGCGCATTTGACTGAAACTTAATTGTTAACATCATGACTTGGGCTGATTGCCATATTTGGGCTTCGTGCCAACTATTTGAACCCTTCGGGGATTTTTATCACTATTTTCTCACTGTGTTGACTTATTACTTGAACTCAGTCCTGCTGTTTTCCACTGTTTTGCAACTCAGCCACTTTTACTCAGTTTTGAGACTTAAATGATATTTCTAAATGATGTTTGGGGCTGAGAACTACTGTTTTACTAATGCCCGAGGGGCTGGTGATGATTTTCGGACTGAGTGCGGCCGAGGGCCATATGTGAGCAATGGCGGATCCAGGATTTTAAAGTCGTGGGTGCTTACTGATAAAAATACTGAAAGAATAGAAAAAATGAGTTTAATTATGGGTGCTCACTCAATATTTATCAAAATATTTTTATAATAACCTATACAAATTTATTAAATCTTATCAAAAATAATGGGTGCTTGAGCACCCAAAAATAACATGTAGATCCGTCACTGTATATGAGGATACACTGAGTGATATGAGGCCGAGGGCCTGAGATACATTTATACACCACGAGGTGGCTTGAGTGATGTGAGGCCGAAAGCCGAGAGTTGATACCACGTGGTGGCTTGATATAGGGCTTGGGCCGTAAGGGGCCCCTCCGGAGTCTGTACACCCCCAGTGAACGCGGGTACCCATTGTGATATGAGAGTGAGCCCGAGGGGCTGATACTATTCTGAGAGATTGATACCGTGCCCAAGGGGCGGATTTCTACTTGTTATTTACCTGCCAAATTACCTGTTTTACTTGTTAAAAGGGATTTTACTTGATTACTTCATTGATTTACTGTTTTAAGTGATTTTACTGCTTCTGTATAGATTGTTTTGTGTTTTCGCGTGTTTTCTTGCTTTCAGCCATTATTTATATTTATTACTCACTGGGTCGGAGCACTCACATTACTCCCTGCACCATGTGTGCAGATTAAGGCATAGCAGGTCCCGCTCCCGAGTGCTGACTCATCCCAGCTCCAGGCGGATCTTCGAGGAGACTTTAGGTAGCTGCTGGCGTTCGCAGCCTGGAGCTCCTCTCTATATATATCTTTACTTTCTATTCTAGTATTGAGACTCTGTAGTTACATTTGAGAGTTTATTTTCTTAGACGCTCGTGACTTGTGACACCCCGGTTAGGGCTGTGTCGGGATGGTTTTTCCGCCATTATTATCTTAAATTCCGCGAACTATTGCTATTAAATCATGTTTTAAACTGTTTTATAATAATGAACTGCTTTAAGAGGTGTATTGTATTGGTCCGGCTGACCTTGTCTTCACGAGAAGCGCCATCACGATCGGGTTCGGGGTTAGGGTCGTGACAAGTTTTATTTAATAGCTTTCAATTTAATCACTGTAATAAAGCTAGAATACTGAATACGAGCATGACAAATATACTTCGCTCTTTCAATTGTATGTAGGCTTTTTCTTGAAGGACAAACTTTATGAAATGAGATTTTGGGTGCTTCAAGCTAGAATCAACTGTCTCTAATCAACATATGAAGAGAAAAAACAGAAGATAACTATCAGTACTAATCACTTATTCTGAGTCATCCTTTCTCCTATAAGTTCACTAAATCTATTTTCTCCTCTTATATCTGTGTTTTATGCTGGTTAAGTCTGACTTATCCTGGTACTTATTTTTCCTGCTTATCTTTTTATCTTGGTTGTGTCCACGGTTATATTGCTGTAGAATCTTTAAATTGGAGATTCAAATAGGCCATATAATGTGAACTTTGAAACTAAATCTCTATTTTGATAGTATGTATAACTTGAAGTTCACTCCAGTGATGAAATAAAGCCGTACTTAATGACTTAATATATAGTTGAACTACTTCCAGTTTGTGCGTATCTTTGGCTTAAAATTATGCAACTTTATTGCAGCTTTTCATCTGTTAATATCTTCTATCAGACAGAGCTGCATTCAGACAAGGAAGATCAACAAGTGAGACAAAATTACTTCTCCACTCAGGTAGGATGGTGTAACCTATTTCGCTGAAACTTGTATTAGTAGAGGTTGTACTAAAGTATTGCTCAAGTTAGTATTTTATTTAAATCCTCTCGAAACATCAAAAGTTATGTGATACTAGCGTTCTGTGTGTCTTATGAAATGATATGACTATTTGTTGTCAAACATGTGAGAGCTTAAAGAAACACACTGGAGTGTCAGTTGGTTGTGTGGTGAAACAAGAGGATGCCAACACTTTATGCACTCTCCCACGTATGCACATAAGCATTCCCCTAATGAATGTTAAGAAAATTGATATTAATTATTTTTTCAATGTTCTGATTTAGAAAGTGAACAATAAGGTGATCATATAATCAGATTGAAGGAATTCTGCAAAAATTTAGAGGAAAGATCTTTTGCTAGATTTACCAAGCTTTTTGCAGCTCTGTAGTCCTTGTGTTAGTAAACACCATGATGTTAATGATAAATCATTGCAGTGATGATAGAAGTGTACTTTAAAGAGTTATATTCTTGATGATACTTTATGCTTGTTGGTATTTTTGAAATCATTGATTGATATATGTGATCCTCGTCCACCCAACTGTTAGAGGAAGGTGGGACAAATTTAAGATTCAAGTACGCTACTGCATATCTTCATCGGATATTGGATGGTCTTATGTCATATAATTTTCTGCAACCATGATTGCCTTTGAATATTGGCAATGACACCTCATTCTTTTAAGAATGCCTTGTCCACTTCAAAAAAGGTGTGACACCATATGTTCCAATCTTTATTTTCCAGCAAATGATTTAACAACAATGAAAGTATTTATGTGACAAAGGATGCATCTTTTTTTCTCTTTCTCATTCTCATTAAAGCAAGCTAAAGAAAGTATTGTGTAAAAAATTATATATTTCAGATCTTGTACAATTTTGTTCCTCAAATGAATATGCATATAGTAAAACATTATTATGTTAGTTAAAACATGTATTAAATTATCTTCTTAGTGTTGAATTTTTAACTTCTTTCGTACAATGATGTCGGGCCTATGCTCCTCAATTTCTTGTTTGAGAGAACGAATTTGTTGCTCTTTATTCAAGCTAGTTGCATTTGCACCATCTAAAGCCAGTGCCAATCTCTGTTCTCTTCTTCACATTTTCGAAGTATCTCCAATATAGGGTGTGTTTGGTACGAAGGAAAACCGGAAAATGTTTTCCAATTTCCCATGTTTGGTTGACTTAAATATTTTGGAAACTATTTTCCTTTATCAAGTGAAGGGAGAACATTTTCCAAAACTCCTTCTCAACCTTCCTCATTCTATTCCTCCCTCACCAACCCACCCCACACCCACCTACCCTCCCACCTCCTCTCTCCAAAAAGGATTGTTTTTTAAAAATTTTAGTTTTTTTTCCGTCACCACCCACCCTGTTATCCCCCGCCAAACCCTTACCCCCCCCCCCCCCCCGCTAAAAAAAAATTTACGTTTTTTTTTTTTTTTTGTAATTTCAAATTTCTATTTTTTTTTTCTGCACATACCCCCTGCCCCTCCCCCCCCAAGGAAAAATATTTTTTTTTTTTTTATATATTTGTAGTTTTTTTTTATCTTTCGATTTATAGGTTCAAAATTCTAATAGTTCCAAAATTATGAGTTCAGAGGTTTATGTGTTTGGAAGTTTACGAGTTTAGAAATTGTAAAGTTTACGGGTTCGAAAATTCGCGATTTTTGCGTAAAAAAGTAAAGCATCACATTAGTTCCTTTGGGTTGTGTTAATTTTTAGAGACTTCGGGAAGGGGTGGGGGAAAGGGAGGGGTGAGGAGAGTTGCATAAAAAATATTTTCCTAAAAAAAAATATTTTCTACTCTCTAACCAAACAATAGAAAATATTATCCGGAAAATGTTTTTCACTTACCAACCAAACAAGAGAAATTAAGTGATAAAACCACTCATTTTCCATGAAAACATTTTCTAGGAAAACATTTTCCATGGAAAATATTTTCCTTCATACCAAACACACCCATAGTCACAATTATCATTTGTAGAGCTCATATGCTTGAAATCAATTTACCTATTCTAGTTTTAACTCAATTGCTTTATATATTTGCATATATGTACTGTATCATTACAACTAAGCATATAACATTAGAACAACAAAGTGCAGAACTTACCTCTTACAGTCGAAGTATTGTCCTTTTTCCCCACGTAGAGAAAATTCCAACTTCAAAAGCCTGTGAAATCCAAATTGTGCGTATATTCCGACTAAATGGATCACAAAGAACCTGTTGCATGTGATGGAGATGCCTCAAATCACATAACATCCAGGGATTGTCAAGCCAAAATGCAGGTTTGGTTATCTCTACGTCCAAATAATTTTATAGCCCGGATAAGCAAATATCATCACCGTCTCTTTGAGATTCATCTTTGAAGAAACAGATCAGATTGCAATTAAAACTAATTAGCTAAATCGGGAATTCATTGAAAAAATAATTATTTTTCAAGAAATTATGTTGATTAGAATGACCATTATGGTTGGTAACCTCAAAAAGTTAAAAATTGGCATTTTATGAGAAAATTCATAATATATTGGATGAAACTTACTGAAACAATTGAGCTTGTAGGGAAAAAATTAGTCCTTGTTAGATTGACTCAAACAAAGCCTATACATTTTGTAAGTTTTTATTTATACAAGTCATGAAATTTACCACAACAAAAGAATGTTGGTGGTAGGAAAGGAGAAATCTTAACAAACGCTTTCAGTTGCGCCACAGAATTTTGGATATTAGTCACATATAGATACAATATCTCCTTTGGTACCTCATTGACTTGTAATCACATCAGCATATTCTGTTAGAATATTTTGGTGTTTATTATAGATCCTATAGTCCAATTTCTCGATTTATATAGACTTGTATAATAAGTTGGATATATATCAAGAATTAGAAATGATTATTGCTACTAAACAAACATGTTTCAAACAATGCACTCATCATTCTTATATTTTTTGAGATAGGTGACTGTCAAATTATTTTTATCCTACAAACAGACGCACGAGACACCATACAGATTCATGAACATGTATTTGTCGTAAGTTGCATTGTTGTTAGCTTAAATTATTCATACTCTCTTTGAGCTAGGGCCAATAGCTATTGCTGCTTATTTCTAGGTGGATTATGGATAATGTTCTTAAGTTTCCTTCTAATGCGAACTTAGAATGGATAGCTAACAGGAAAAATGTAAACCACTATGATGAAGACAATACAACTGTCCTAAAACCTTCATATTGGTAACTTCTATTAAAATTCGTAAGGATGATCTTGTGTACTTTTTTTTTCGGTTATCATGTGGTCCCTTTTGTCTATTACTCTTCTCATCCCTTTTATGGGAGATTCCTTATCTTGTAGAAGACTTCAACTTTGTCGGAAAAATGTGTTAAAAAAGATATTTGAAGTGTTGTGCAAGTATTTGGGACACCTTTATGATTAACAAAAAGATTGATTAATTAAGAATGATTAGGGGTGATTTGGGTCAAATTAGAAATAAAAAAAGTTTGGGGTAAAATTTAAAATACTACAAAATTAAAAAACCCATCTTCTAATCTCACTTTTCCAACTTTTCTCTTTCTTCCTTTTTCCAAACCAGACGATCTCTCCGACGATTTTTCCCTAAACTTCTTCAACTTTTCTCTCAAATTCAATCTCCAAACTCAACTACTCAAGGATACTATAGGGCTTCAAAAATCTGCTTCATTCCATTTAGATTTGCTTTGAAGTCGAGATTCTATCATCAAGTTAAGTTTTTTTTTTCTTTCTATTTTCTACCATATTGATAAATCCTAAACTTGTTATTTTAACCCTAAATTGATTTTTTGGGGTGTTTTTGTATCTTCTTGTTGTTGTGTAGTTTTTGTGCCTAAATTCTAGAGTTGTTGTGTAGTTGATATTTTTGACCGAGAATTTGGTATTTTTATGTTTTTTAATTGTAGGCGTTGATGTGGTTGTACACCCATAAAATTAGTTGTTGTGATGTTGAAACAGTTATATTGCTCTATTTTGGATTTACGGAACGCTTTTTGCCCTGATGTTTCATACATGCTAGGTGAGTGCTTGGAACATCTTAAGATATTGTTAAATATTCGTGTTGTTATTGTTGTTGTTGTGTGTTGTGAACTTATTGCCATATTTATCTGGGTTTGGTTAATGATATTTTGAGCTGAGTGTTTGAAACATCTCATTAAGATGTTTGAAGCTTCATATAAGATGTTTGAAACATCTGTAAGGATGTTTAACAATCCATG